TCATTAAATACTTCTTCAAACAGTATCTGAAGGAGATGAAAAGCACTAAGTTGTACTCATCATATGCAGATTCCGACAGAAGTCATGATAGCAAATGCAAATTTAGCATTCTAAGCCTAGGCTCTTCAGGAGTGGGGGGGGAGAGAGGTTTCCCCCCAATCTTTTCCTTACCAAAAGCAGCAGGCAGCAGCGGGCGACAGCCACAGTGTGTTGCTTTAAAAAGGACACCAGGTATTGGGGGGCCTTTCCTAGAACTGGGCAGATGGACCAGCACTAGTCAGCTTTATGCTGCCTCATTTACTTAGTGTTTTGCAATCCTTAATGTGCACAGCTGGCAGCTGAATGCAGGTCTGATTCTAACAGTTTAGACATCTTTAGATGTAGCAGATGGAAAATTTTACACAAATAAAGTAGGAAAAAGTGTGCAATTAAGGTTCTTTTTTTAAAAAAAAAAAGTGGAGGGGGAGAAAAAAAATATGTAGTTGCTCGATGCATCCTCTACTCCATTTGTGAAGATCCCCCTAAGTGGGTGGCCATCTTTTCAGTGTCCACATCCCTACCTTCATGGCACACTACATTTAATGCTGGACACATGCCCAACTCTAAACTTCTATTTTTGTTGAGTGTGAATGAAATACAAAATGCAGCAATCAGCAAAAACGGGGTGATGGGAAGGGGGAAGGCCAGACTAATAATGTAATTGTATCAGCCTAGGACATTATGGTTGCATTCCAAGCTATTTAAGTCACAATGGTAAAATCTTTGGCAGGGCTTATCCGCCGTGCCCCCCCCCCTCCCCAAGACTTTCATTATTATGGGTTGTAAAGAAAATGATATTTTTTATTTTTAAAAAAGTCTTATGGAATGTATCACTTTCTTAGATCTTGTAGACATGCCTTAGAAACCATAACACAAAATATGAGTTACTTACAATAACTAATTTTAATCCCATCTGCTAAGTATGACAACATTAGCATTTCCACTTAATTAAAAACACCCTTAAAGCAGCAATGTTTTAATCACTCCATTTTATTTACTCTCCTCTGGTGTCACTTATAATTGTAACTTTTTATTTTTTTTAATAATGAGAAGGGTTTTTTTTTTCCCCTCTCTGCATCACATAAAAAAGTGCTGTCGATAATTAGCAGTCTTCTGTTATTACTAGACTCAGGTGTCACAACTGTGTCTCATCCTCATTACAGTAAAAAATTTCACCTATCAGATTCATTATTGCTAGATAATGCAACTGAGAGACTTAGCGGGCCCTCCAGAAAAGTAATTCAGCCAAGCAAAATTATCAGCTAATTATATTTAGAATCAGACGCCCAACAACTATTTGCAGATAAATTGTATGAATTGAAGGGAATAGATTTGAATATTAAGATTCATAGATTTAGCAGATGATTTGTTAATTGGAATATAAAGGTCATTTTAACAATGGAGTTATGGGGACTCTGTTGTTTCATCAGAGATACTTGGAATTAAGAATCAAAATAAAGGATAAGTGTGGTTGCCATGGTTTGAACTTATCATCTACAAGGTTATTATAGAAAAATGTTAGGTTGTTTCTAAATTGCAACCAACATTAATAGGCAGCCTATCTCCCACAATCCCTAGACCAACTTCTAGATCCCATTCACATGTGTAAACTAATGGTCAATTTCTCCTTACATATGTATCCTAAGATTAATAGCAGATCACTCTTTGTTGAGTTTAGCTAGCATTTTTAACTGAGTTCTTTTTTCCTTGTTTCTTTTTTAAATGAAAGCTTGTGTTATACACTACATTTCATGTTCTGTTTTCCCCAACTCCTCCAGGAATATATTGGCAGTTGTTTATTTTTGCATCAGCATGTAAGGTCATTTTCAAATAAAAGGATTAATTCCAAGTCCTACCTTTTATCTGTCAAACTACATAAATATTGGATCCTGGTTTTATTAATTTGTGAGACAGAGAAAGTCTTTACAAAGAAGATGCTACAGTGTTTTAAAGATGACAGTGACTATAACTTGGCCTGCTATTCTGTTTTAGAAAAGGAAATAATAGAAAATACACATTTTTTTTTGTTATATAATCTCATCATCTGAACTCTACTGAATTTTGTGTGGCTAACAAAATATGCTTTTAAATTCTCTGAAGAAAACTAATCAATGGCCAAAAAGATACTTCATCACATTTTGTATTCATAAAACATTCCCTTATATATAGTAGATACCATATCAGGAGGCACAGTGGTTAGAATGCAAAATTGCAGGCTAACTCTGCCCACAGCCAGGAGTTCGATCTTGACCGGCTCAAGGTTGACTCAGCCTTCCATCTTTTTAAGGCCAGTAAACTGAGGACCCAGATTGTTGGGGGCAAAATGCTGACATTGTAAACGGCTCAGAGAGTGCTGTAAAGCACTAAGGAGTGGTATATTGGTCTGAGTGGTATATTTATAGATTTTGGACTGGACATCCTACCAAGCTCCCCCAATTTCTGACATGTATGATTGAGTAACACACAGGTTAAAGTATGAGCAACCATGGAGATGTGAGGAAGGATGACAATCCAAATAATCTCATGGAATTCTCTATCAGTTTTGTTAGCTGCTTTCTTGTATTTGAGGCTATAGGATTGTATGTAGTTGATACCACTCTGCTGATGGAATGTTTATTAATCTCCTGGAAACTTAAATCAGTGGAACAAAAGAAGGATATTTTTATGTATGTTAATTCTTACTGCATTTGCCTACTTCTCATGCTGATCAAAATAGGGCTATAAAGGGGTGAAGTCCTCCCTTCCTTATACCACTGATGGAACCCTCCACTAGATCAAAAAAGCATTCAGTCTACTAAATTAACACCTGCTGGATACAAACTGTAATCTTTGCAACTGTCTTTATTTACAATTTAGTTAAGCTATAGATGTTCCATTTCAAAAACAGAAGTAAAGTCAGCTAAATTAATGTACATGCAAAATGTGTATCTGTTTTAAAAGGAAGAAGGAATGGTTGTGGGGGGGGGGAATGGGGAAGCCCACAAATGTTTTTATGGTCAAAGGGGGTTTGTAATCACATTAATTTTGTACAGATACATGTAATTTTGAAATCACCTTTTAAAGTTTGAAACATCTTCTGTGTTCCAATATTCAAATGGTATCCAGCCCAAATAGTGTTGAGTCAGGGAACAATTCCTCATACTTATTTATGCTGGTAAGTCTAGATCTTTCCCTCATTGGGCTTTTACCCAGGAGAATGGGACAACTCGCCATGGCTAACTTGCCACGGCCAACTCATCATTGCTAAATTGCCATGGCCAACTTGCCATGGCCAATTCGCCACAGCCAATCCACCTTGGGACAACTCGCCACAAGACAATTCAACAATTTTATTTAATTATTTAAAATCATTTTAAAATTATTTTAATTTTGGTCATTCACATTTCATTTTGTCTTTCCTTTTGCATCCTTTCTTTAATCTATTTCACCATTTCTTTGAGATTTTGTAACTTTTATCTCACGGAAAGTTGTCCCTCTGCGAGTTGGCCGTGGCAAATTGTCCTGTAGCGAGTTGGTCGGGATGAGTTGGCTGTGGTGAGTTGTCCTAGACCCTGACCCAGTGCCTTCACATGAGAATGTAGTTGCGATGTTCATCACAATGAAGGCTTATTGATCCTAGAGAAGCATCAGGTACTGAGCTAGTCTGTGATACATTGGGTCAATGCTGCTTGTTTTTGACAGTATGCTTGAAAAGGAGAGGAAGCGTATTACAGGTTGCTCACTGTTCCCCAGTTTCCATAAAGAAGAACTACCCATATCCGTATCCTGTGTCTGTCTACTGATTATATTTTTTTTAAAAAAAAATGTATGGAGCCATTTAAAGAAAAAGCTATGCCTTGATTTATTTAGCTAACAAAACATACGCTTGCTGTTCCATTATATGCAATTTATATGATCAATATATTTTTTTTTTTTAAGAAAAAGAGCAACTTTGGCATGTAAAGAGATTATACTGATGCTGAGGGAATATGATTGTTGCAATCCAACTTCTGTGCTACTCGCCAAAAATACTCTTTGGGGCTCAGTAATGCAATAATAATACACAATCTGCATTCCTCCGTTTTAGGATAGAAGCGGTGCACTGTGGCTGTTACCCCCTCTGTCCGAATGCTTTGGTCTATCCAGAAATATTTCCAGGTAGTGTCCTATCTATACATTTATTCCCCCCCCCTTTTTTTTTAGGGAGAGGTATTTTAATTTATAATTAATTTGAAAATACAAAGTTTGAGTATAAACTTAAGCAAGAGCAATTGTTTACTTGGCAAGCTACCATGTTAGCGCTAAGGAATTTTTTAATGTGTTTTAATACATTAGACGAAGTTTATATTTACCATCTGTTCTTTCAAGATAACACAAAAGCTAGTTTTGAAATAGCATTCTTCATTGTTAGTATACACAGCCTATAATGATAGATTTTATTAAAAAGGTCGCTTTGTCTATGATAGCTTGCAGATTTTTTTTCCTTTTAATAATATTCAGAGGGGGGCAGAAAATAGGCCTGAAAAATCATACCAATTTTTTTAAAACAATTTAGTACTTAATAGTAGTCCTACTATGGGGTAACACTAATGTAGTACCAATTCTTTGAAAAAAAAAATCTCATCACTAAATGTCTCATATATGCATTGTGTTACATTAATATAATGTATTTTAATCACCCAAAGGAGATGTCTAAACAGCACAACTACATAGCCTTATTTAGCATTAAACATCCTTGTGAGCTGAGGTAACCTTATAAAATCATGCTTAAATAATGTAAAACACGAGGCGGCACAGAGCAATATGCATTTTTAATTAGTAAAGTGACTAATATCGAGTGTGTGCTTTGAGGTTTTTGTTTCATTAAAAATGTATCTGTTTTTCCTGCAGCTGAATATCTGTATTCTACACCTGAACAGCTTATTAAAAGGCTTCAGAATTTCTGCAAGAGACCAGAGATTGTAAGGAAACATCTCTATAAGGTATTTATTCCTTATAGCAACATGATGCTGTCTTTGGCTTAGTGGAAAAAAACAGAACCCACACCCAACCCTCCTTCCAAAACAAGGAGAGAGAAAAAAAACAAGAAACATTTAATTAACATCCTACTGTTTAAAGGAAACATGCTATGGAGGGATATTAGTTGTTATACTAACAAGGATTAATTACACTGGATGCCACTTGTATTAACCCAAGGTCTTATGAAATATGTGCACTTAGTATATGCTATACACTTTGTCTTCTTTTTTAATTTATTGTTTTCTAAAGTGACTGTCCGCCACACATGGACCCAAGAGGCTTATAAAAATGAACCTGGATTAATTTAATCCATTAGTTTAAAAGGAAAGTAAGAGAGGGGGAGAGAGATCCTACAATTATGTTAATAAGAGGAGCTTACTTTGTCCTATCAGATGATGGCCCAGGTATATTTCTCCCTCTGCTTTAACTTGTTTTGATCATTTCAGAGCATGTCTAATGCACTGCATTGTGGCGATCTGTCTATCTGTCTGTCCATCCATATGGACAGACAGACATACATGCATACATACATAAGTAACTATACACACATGTATATTTACATATATTTTTATTTATTTATTTGTATCCCACCTTTGTTATTCTGACAAGCAACTCAAGGCAGCAACCATATCCAGCACACCTTCTTCCTCTTATTTTCCTCAGAACAATAATCCTGTAAATGTGAATTGGGCTGAGAGAGTCACTGGCCCAAGGTCACCCAGCTGGATTTCATGGTCAAGACAGAACTTGAATTCCCAGTCTCCAGATTGGTGCCTTACTCACTGAACCAAACTGGCTCTTTATACAAGTTCTGCCTCACCCAAACCTCTGTAAATGAGTCCAGTTTGGTTCTTTGCCTTTTAATGGCATTTTTAGGCTAAATTCAGAAAAGGAGCAATCCTGTTCCTCTTCATGTTTTTATCCTCCTGTACCAGTGAGTAATGCAGCAAGTAATGCAGAATATGCTAAAATATTATTATTTCTTTTATTCATTAAACATGAAACTCAGTCAACTGAACATTCAAAAATGAATCACAAATACCATTGACTGGTGCTAATGGTTGATACGGGTTGCTGCCAGCGTCCTAGGTATCAACCAAGTACCTTCTTAAAATGTACGATGTTCCAAGTAGTGCAGTTTTTTGTAGTTCCGCTGGTGTTATTGCAGGAAGCTGCAATTTGTTGATGTATATTATAAAATTCTTGGACATGGTACCAAGTGCCCCGATAACAATGTATATCACTGTTACATGTTTCATCCATAGTCATGTAGTTTCGATGGCCAGGTCGCAATATTTCATGATGATGATGATGATGATGATGATGATGATGATGATGATGATGATTTGTTAAATTTATTTGCCACCTATCTTGCCGTAGCACTACTCTAGGAAGCTTACTAAAAGAAAAAAGATAATGTCCAAAAAGATGTCCAAACTATTCTACAATGCTCATGCATGAAATCTGCAAGTCCCACATTTGATGTTTTTAGATTTCCAGAATGAATAAAAAGAGGAGGCAAAGGTGCAGGTCTTCCTGTTTTTGGAACATCATGGTAGGATATGCAACAGGATGCCCTGAGTACTTACTCAGGCACATTTCTCATATCCCAACTCTCCTTTAAAAAAAAAAAAACCTCTAAAAAGAAATGAACAGCCATGTTTGTTTATAAAGGTGTCCATAAGCACTTCTTGGTTGATTCTAGCTGAAGTGGCAATAATGTGGGGACTAATCAAGACGCCAGAGATCAAGGACACCAGCTTGCTTTTTGACAAATGGCTATTTCTGACGAGCGCTGCTCAATGAGGTTGCCATTACCAGAGTCAGCCAGTTCCTTCTGTGACAGCCATTTTACAAGTACATCCATAACAGTCTCTCAAATTCCGGCAGTTTCTACTGACCCAAAATATTTTCCTCTTCCTTTGCTACAATGTATAGTTCTGCTGTATCAAATAATGTTGAAATTTGTGGGTGTTTGCATTATAGGTAGTCCTTGTTTAGCAACATTTGGGATCGACAACTCAGTCAATAATGAAGTGGTCACTAAGTGAAACCACAGCTGTGCTTGCTTGCTTGCATGAATGCATGCTTGCTTGCTTGCTTGCTTATTTGTTTGTTTGTTTACCTGCCTATCTATCTATCTACCTACCTACCTATCATGTTTCCCTGAAAATAATATCCTGTCATATTTTTTTTTGAACCCTGAAATAAGTGCTTGGCCTTATTGCCATGCACTCAAAAACCCGATTGGGCTTATTATTAGGGGATGTCTTATTTTTTGGGGAAACAGGGTACCTACCTACCTACCTACCTACCTATCCAGGGGTGGTATTCATTCATTGCGAACTGGTATTCCCTACCAGTTCGCAAATGTGCGCTTCGTAAAAGACCTTCTGCGCATGTGCAGAGTCTCAAAAACGTGGAAAAATGGGATGTCATGATGTATGCGCAGGTGGGCAGGGCATCCCACAGTTGTCCCTACCGGTTAGCCTGAACCAGATAGAACCGGCTGAATTCCATCTATCTATCTATCTATCTATCTATCTATCTATCTATCTATCTATCTATCTATTGTGCCTATCTGCCCTGCAAAATAACTCGGGGGGAACTTATGATCTTACTTCAGCTTTCCTGTGCTTTGTGAAGGTTATAAACATGGGAATTGGTCATAATGTTAACTTTTTCTTCTGCATCATAACTGCAAATGATCACTAAACAAGGACTACCCTATATTGTTTGGGGAGGGGGGGTCTGATTTAATCTAATTTCAGTTCCCAGCCCCTGTATTCTTATACTATCTCGGTACGTGCATCATTGCTCTAGTGTTTGTAGTGTTCATTCCTTATCGGTATGATTCAGAAACATAACACTCTGAGGGGTCCTTGATGCTCTCTGATCTTGCTTATTTTCTTGCAGAAATTTCATTACCCTAAGTAACACCATCAGTGCTAGTAAGGAGTGTTCTTTGCTGTCAGTTTACATTCTTTATGTCACTTTGCATTCAGAATATAAACTGACAGCAAACTGCGCTCCTTACTAGCACTGATGATGTTACCTAGTTAGGGTAATGAAACGTTTGCAATAAAACAAGCAAGATCAGAGATTACCAAGGACCCCTCATTTCAACCCTGAGCTACAAATATTCTACTTCATTGGTACATAACATTCTGTCCCATAAGTGTGCTTTCTGTTAGCTTCTCTTGGAAACTGTAGCAGAGGGCCAAGCCATATCAGTACAGGTAGTCCTCAATTGACAATCACAACTGAGATCAGAATTTCCATTGCTAAGCAAGGTGTTTCTGAAGTGATTCGCGCCTGATTTTATGATCTTTTTGTCCCCGGTTGTTAACTAAATCAATGCAGCTGTTAAGTGATTCACATACTTGTTAAGCAAATCTGTCTTCCCCCTTGACTTTGCTTATCGGAAGCCGCTGGGAAGGTCACAAATGACTTATCACATGACTCTGGGACACGGCAGCAGTTGTAAATACCTGCCAGTTGCTAAATGCCCAAATTTTGATCATGTGACCGTGGAAATGCTGTGAGAGTCGTAAGTGCAAGGATTGGTCATAAAGTGTTTTTTTTTTTTTCAGCGCTGTTGTAACTTCAAAGAGTCACAAAACTAACAGGTTGCAAATCAAGGACTCCCTGTAATGGGGTTGTAATATGCCCCGTTTTGTAGACGAGGACCTCACTTGGCAGTTTGACCTTAATCTGAAATTAATTTGCAGCGAATATGATCTCTCTTAATGTATTTCATATTTTTGTTTCCTTTTTGTCACGTTAAAAAAAGTAAAAAGTATAATTCAGCAGTAATTTTGCAAGGAGGTTTGGGATCACAGTTGAGGCTTTGGAGGTTGGGTTGCAGGTTGTTTCGGGGAAACGACATGTGAAAATGTTCTTAATAGATAGTGCTTTTCCGTGCTGTCCATGAAGTCCATACTTTTCCCTACAACAGTACATCTTGCTGCTTTATATTCTTTGAGGGGGGGGAAGTGTCACAACCGCCTTCTTGATTCCTAGATGGCCCAGAAATAGTGTTGATCCTGCTGCTAATAAATAAATGCTTGATAATACGACCAGGCTACAATTCATATGCATTCTGTTTAGGATAAAGGTGCAATTATATGCCTCCTCCCTTCCCCAAAAGAATTTCTGACTCCTCCCCTTGATACTTTTTTATAACTCTTCCATGCCTCGTCTCCCCACCCCCAGTGCCCCACATTTGTGCGAGTGAATGAAAATAATTTTGTTCTTTACACATGCAGTTTTTATGGGTGACCTACGAGTGGACATTTATGTGAGGGCACATCAACAGGGAATATTGTTTCTGCAGGAAATGGTTAAACCTCGAGAAAAAAAAAAGGAGAGAACCAAAAATGCAATTTAACACCCAATTTCAAGCTCATTATCTTTCATTGTCTATTAAGTTGGCAATGGTTCAGAAGGTAGCTCATAATAGTTTAAAATGCTGACTGAACACTTCCAGTGTTCAACATTACTTCTTGAGTCAATAGTATCGTATAGCTGTACATGGAGGCTTCAGAGAGAGAGAGAGAGAGGGAAAAGAATTCTTAAATGTTTACCTTGACATTAGTTCTTCCTGGAACTGCAGTTAGACAGTTTTGTTTCAGACAGCTTGCTTGCTTCGTGGGTGGGGGGTGGGGGGGCAGGGTCTTTTGGGTTCCAGGGAATATTTCCATTTCATTGTGGGCTGGAGAGTATTAATGAGTATGATTTCTAAAAGAGAGAGAGAGAAAGAGAGATGCCTTTTATACAAGTTCCAGTGAGTAAAATGCTTAATTGGCTACATTGGCTCCTTGCTAAATTATATCCAGGCAGTATTACCTGGCATGATCTCCACATACTTGGATAAATGTATGCTCATTACACCTGATGGATGCAAATTCTTCCTAATCTAATTCTGGGAATCCCTACATGGCAACTGTGGACCTCTGTAGTT